AAGGAACCACAACACATAAACAGGAATAAAACAAGGAAACCACTCCAAAGAAACAGGAATAAAACAAGGAAACCACAGCAAATAAACAGGAGTAAAACAAGGAAACCACTCCACATAAACAGGAATAAAAGTGAAGAAACCACTCCACATAAACAGGAATAAAACAAGGAACCACACCAAAAAAACCAGGAATAAAACAAGGAAACCACACCAAAATATGGGAATAAAAGTGAAAAAACCACTCCACATAAACAAGACTGAAACAGTGGGGGATCCGTGTTTTTTGACCGGGCCACATTTCAGTTCTCTCCAAGAATCTCAACGCCAAATAATTTAAAATAATTAGGAATTAAGGTTTCCTTTCAGCGAGGTTGTTCTGGGTAAGGTTTAAACCCAGCGCCATCAGGGGGAAAACCGCCCGCCAACGCCTCGGGATGAACCCGGAGCTGACGGATCAACAGCTCCAGACCGACAAAATTAAATATTTAGGAGTGAACGGAGCAATTCCCGGGAGATTTTAACGGGGACAGACGGGGACAGTGAAACGTGGCTGTTCCTCAAGCCCGGCTTTGTCAGGCCGGGTGTGGGGTTTAGGCTTTGTCACGTCTTGAGGCGTGAATATCTTGAGGTGGGAATATCCAGCCAGGGAGACTGGGGATTTGGGATGAGTCACGAAGCAGGTGAGACATCCACGATCCCGTTCCTTCCCCGGGGGCTCTGGGATTTCAAACACTGCTCCCACTGGATACTCCTGGAAAAGGCTTGGACAGAGGCACTCTGTGATGGGTTAGGAACTGGCTGAGGGCCGGGCCTGGAGAGTGGTGGGAATGGAGCTGGATCCATTTGGGATCTGGGCACCAGTGGTGTCCCAGTGCTGGGCCCAGAGAGTGGTGGGAATGGAGCTGGATCCATTTGGGATCTGGGCACCAGTGCTGTCCCCAGGGATCAGTGCTGGGCCCAGTCCTGTTCCATGTCTTTCCTGATGACCTGGATGAGGGGATGGAGTCCCACCATCAGCTCGTGCTGGTGACACTGAGCTGGGGGAGTGTGGATCTGCTGGAAGGCAGGAGGGCTCTGCTGAGGGACCTGCACAGGCTGGATCCATGGGCTGATTCCAACGGGATGAGGTTTCACAAGGCCAAGGGCTGGGTCCTGCCCTTTGGCCACAACAACCCCCGGTAGCTCCAGGCTGGCACAGAGGGGCTGGAGAGCAGCCAGGCAGGAAGGGAGCTGGGAGTTGGGATGGCCGGGAAGCTGAACGGGAGCCAGAGTGTGCCCAGGGGGCCAAGAGGGCTGATGGATCCTGGCCTGGATCAGGATCAGTGTGGCAGCAGGAGCAGGGAAGGGATTGTGCCCCTGTGAGGCCACCCCTGGAGTGCTGTGTCCAGCTCTGGGCCCTCAGCTCAGGAAGGACATGGAGGGGCTGGAGCAGGGCCAGGGAAGAGCAGTGAGGCTGGGAAGGGACTGGAGCACAATTCCCATGAGGAGAGGCTGAGGGAGCTGGGGGGGCTCATCCTGGAGAGGAGGAGGCTCAGGGGAGACCTCATCCCTCTGCACAACTCCCTGCCAGGAGGGGGGAGCCGGGTGGGATCGGGCTCTGCTCCCAGGAACCAGCAGTAGGACAAGAGGGCTCGGCCTCCAGCTGTGCCAGGGGAGGGTTAGGTTGGATATCAGGAAGGAATTCTTTCCACAGAGAGTGATCAGCCCTTGGAATGGGCTGCCCAGGGAGGGGGTGGAGTCACTTCCCTGGAGGTGTTTAAGGTGAGCCTGGATGTGGCATCAGTGCCATGGGCTGGGAACCACGGCGGGGTTGGATCCAGGGTTGGACTTGATGATCTCGGAGCTCTTTTCCAACCCAGCTGATTCTGGGATTCTGTGATTCCATGAAGGAATGCTCAGCAATCCTGAGGGACCTCATCTGCTTCATCAGAGAACCACGGGATGGTCTGGGCTGGAAAGGACCTTCCAAGGTCATCCAATCCATGGGCAGGGACACCTCCCACTATCCCAGGTTGCTCCATCCAACCTGGTCTTGGACACTTCCAGGGATGGGGCAGCCACAGCTCCTCTGGGAAACCTTTTCCAGGTGTTCCGCCGCCCCCTCTGCGCAAACACAGCAAGCGGCTCCAGGAATTTGTGTTATCCATCACCTCAAGGTTGTGCTTTATAACGCAGCTTTTTAATAAAAAGCATCAAAACCCTCAAAAAAAAATTAATGCTGGTGGTGGTTAAAAAGGAGTGGGAATGACCAGACAGGGAAAAAACCCTTTACAATCTCTTTTTGGTTTTCCGTGGGTTTGCTTGGTTGTCCCTCTTGCTGAGAGGGCTCCTCCTCTTCCCTCCCCAGCCCTGGAAGTGCCAAAGGCTGGGTTGGAGCAACCCGGGATAGCGGGATGTGTCCCTCCCCCTGGAACCGGATGAGCTTTAAGGTCCCTTCCCACCCAAACCACGCTGGGATTTGGTGATTCCCTAAATTCGTGGCAGAAATTGGAGGTGGTCACTCCAACATCAACCGCAGGAGGAGGCGGCTCCGGCGTGGCAAGGGATGAATCCGTACAGCGAATACAAATTAACTAATTAATCCCAGCTCCCCTCCTGCTTCCACGCGGTTCATACAAGTCCATCCCAGCTCCCTCTCACTCCCAAGTTTTCCTGGCTCTGCAGGGGAGGGTTCTGAGCAGAGCAGGTGAGGAGAAGCGGGGCCACCTTCCTCCCGAACTCCGGT